AAGATTCAGAACAGACTCGAAGTCTGAATAATGATCACATGGACTGCATAATGACTAGTTCAATAGCAATGAATATTTGTGCTGTCTGTCTTTTGTTTGAGTTATGGGTACCTAAGTAAGAACCTATGCTCTAAATTACAATGATTTATTGCTGCATGAGGGCATTATTTTTCGTATTATGCAGAGAGCACATTTCGCGTGTCTCAGTGCAAGGCCCATCGGCCATCCCGCAGGATTATAAGGCTAGGTGTCGCGTCGTCGTAAACACTTTGATTTATGGTCGCCGAGCTGTTTTGTGGCCGGACATTTATTTTGATTTTCATTGCCCAGAGCCTGTGCGAGCGCTATTACGAGATCGTTTTGCGGACAAGGAAGTCTCGTAAGATATGCTTTTGTAGCTCTGAGGTTATGACCCTGCAATATATAATTTCTTACGTAATTTATGTAACTACCTCATGAAGATAATTTCCATGCTGTCGTAGGGCTTTACTATTGAGTTGCGAATAAGAATTAATGAGCACTTTAAGTCACTTCTCTGCGATGGGTTTAACAACCATCGAGATTAATGCTTTGCGTTCGAACGGCTGGCAGATATATCTAGTTCTTATATCGTTTTGATTTCCTCTCTATGGATACGTAAATAAAAAGAGCGTGACGAGGAATAATTACATGGACGTTAAGCAGTGACATGGACCGTAGGTATCGGATGTAAACGTGATGTCGCCGTCGCCACTCAGGAGATTCGCCTCGAGATAACGAAATAATAATGTAGCTCTAACTCTAATGAAAATCATTTAATCGATATGGAAATTTTTTACTCGGTTCTCAGAGGATGATCTAGATAATATTGTGGATAAAAAATATTCGGTTTATCGAGTAGGTACGTCTATGACATAAGACAACTATGCTGTGACATAAGCCAGTAGATAATGGAAACTAAAAAAAAGTCGCGTACAAGTGTCTACGTGTAAGATTGCTGGAAGTAAGTACCAACGCCTAGTTAGTTGTACTACTAAAACATAGATATATCGTATAATTATGTACCTACTTATCTAAGTTTTAAGAGATTGCAGTAAGTAGATAAAATGTTTTGCAATTTGTGTATGATCTAGTTATTCGTGTTACATCATAAAATTAACTAATACTTATCTCATTATGGTTTACATAAAGTTATCTAAGTTTATTGTGAGCCAGATCATCAGTATCAGTGCAGATCCTGGACTCGAGGACAGGGAAAAAATCTTCCTATTTCAGTTCCAACTTCAGAATAAAAGTCAGTACAAAAAAAAACAGCTTCAGTCTTTAGACCTGAGTCAAAGTTCCTTTTTGAAATTATTTGTTAGTGTTACAGTTACTAATATGATGGTTACTGTACTCTTTGTCCATGCTTACAATCTGTTGTTTCACTTTAAATGAAGTTAAAAATCGATGCAGTTTAATCGCGGTAGGAACAAGTTCATTGCCAATTTTTGCACGCGCCATAAAAGACAGCTCTCAGGCAGATAACATAATATAATCTTTCGTATTATGTTAATGAAAGTAAAGTTGTTCAGCTAGCTTGATGCGTTTATGGACAACGGATGCTCCACCGGCCGAGCAGGGATACTGTCGATTGCATACATAATGTAAAAATATATAATGATCCTTCTTTTCAAGCTGAGTTTTTATTCAAGTTTTACCTTGAATCAATTGGCGACGTTTAATTCAGACCGTAATTGTGGCTATAAAGCATAATGATGAGCTCGTTCAGACGAAAGCATTCTCGTAATTGTCTATCAAAATAGTAAAGTACGACACGAAAATAGTTTCTTGCATGTTAACGATAAATTACATCCAGTAAAACTCGTTTTGATCAGTATTAAACATTTTATGGACAGTCTGGATACTTATTTAATTCACTGTTTGTTTATTATTATGTTGTCGTTTGACAAGTCCAATCTCTAACTGAAAACGTTGGATTGAAAGGAAATAAAACAATAAATGTACTTCATTTACAAAAATTGTGTTTGCATAATTTAATGATTAAGCTTAGATATTATTTTATGATTTTCCAAAATAATTTATTAAGTAAGTAAATTAGAATTAATAGTTTAAATTGCTGACGAATGAAAGATATATTTTTAAACTATGGTGATGGTGGGATAGGATAGAATGGCTATCAAGACACTGACATACCAGGCGGTGGTTTTTAATTTAATAGAATAAAATGACTACCTATCCATCTCCCTGCAAAATTGTGAAATAGCATGACAAAATATATAAAAGTAAGCACTGCTAACGGACAAAAATTTAAAGTGCACATCATGCCAGCAAAAGAAGTTCGTCGATCCTTAACAAGGTGAACAACAGGTTCAGTATAGATCGACTGAACTCTTAGTCCGGACAAGGAGCCGATACGTCGGCGACACGGTCAAAGCCCTAACCGGCACTTAAAGAAGATACTCACGAAAATATTTCTTCAGTGTTGCTATTTTTTAATCGATCTGCTACCGAGAACACAACGGCCAGGCCCACGTCATAAATATCAGGTTGCTTTTTCATAGTCACTTGCGCGGGAAAAGCATCGGACCTCCATGCGTGCGAGTGGCATGGAGTCTCAGGACAAACTAAGCGAATTTCTGGGTGTCCGTGATGCGTGACGGGTGCACGTGCTCGATGCGCAGACGCATCTTTACTGGAGGCTATACACTGTCTTTCAACCGAAGACGCGCGGAGCAACGAACGGCTTGTATGTACATTGCACACTGTTGTTTTTATATTGAAATGAAATACGTAATTTACGGAAAAGGAAACAAAATATCTATATAGCAAATATACCAACTGAATTAGATAATAAAAAAGGTTTGTTATTTCTACCTTAACTCGTCGAGCACCGTCATTATAGACACAATTAAAGAACAATAGGTTGCGGTCACCGGTGACCGCTTGGTGTTTGACAGTTTAATACCTCCTATTGAAATTTGAAGACATTACTTACCTATTTTATTTGGAAGATTTATTTATAGTTTCGCCTGAAGTGTTTCGCAAGCATGCGCATGAGTCGGTCGTGCGTGCGTTTTCCGCTACATGCGGGTTGTGTAGGTTCCCTAATCAAGTGGTCGGACAGGTAGCGCGTGTCTTCATCATTAGACGTTTCGCTGCTTTGACGCTTATTTTGATGACAAGCTTTTAAGTTGCGTCATGAGATGTAAATAAACGATTATTGTGACTTCTGCAAGCAGGATAGGCATTTACTGACGTAGAACATACCTGACTGCACCATAACGCCAACTACCTAACAGCAGGCTATGTTTTATTCATGGCAACTGTATTATTTCATGAAAGTCTTTAAATATTCCGAGTTTCGCTCAGTATTTTCCGGATGAGAAACTCTTGTAATATTTTTTAATTATACGCTGTGTATGTATGAGAATGATTTAACAAAGTACTTGAGATTCATTCACTTGGGCTGACCATTACAATGGAAGATGTATGTGTGTCATAGTGGCGTAGCATAGTAGTGACATCTACTTACATGTTCTGATTGTGATGTGACTTTCTTTAGCGTGTTACAAGATCATTTGAAAGTAATTATAATACTATTTAATATTTATATATTAAAACTAACTCACTGCTAAACGCTCACTCGGAAAACTGCTTCACATCTTAACTCGTCGAGTACCGGTTTTGTAGACACAATTATGGAACAATAGGTTGCGGTCACCGGTGACCGCTTGGTGTTTGACAGTTTAAAGGAAGTTGAACACATTCAACAAGAATTCCTCGGATGCCTAGAAATATATTCAAGAACTCGGGCATTTATTTGTTAAGTTGATGAGACTCATGAATACAATAATGTTACTTTAACAGCTATGTAGGTAAGTTGAGCTCATTGTGCACACTTCTTTGTGACCATTTTGTAAGTAGGTAGCTAACTAGGAACCTTGTGAAGAAATATTAGTGAACGACCAATGTGAACTAATAAAAGTGAAAATAAATGTTGGTTTGCTACGCTTTCATGCTTAAGCTAAACCGATTTTGATACCTACATAATAGAGATCAGTGTTCTGGAAACGGTTATTTATTGGTTGTTAAAAATTGAACAAATAGGTACCTAAAATCGTGAAGGTGCTACCACGGGTTATCTACATATTATTATCAATACTAACGCCTGTAGAAAATAAAATGCATAATGTTATGTTACGCAAGAAAAAAATTGTAGTAGGTACCTATTTAGATAGAACAGTTTGATATCGACGACGGCAGCAATAATTTGTCAGTAATTCAATAAAGTGTTTAAGTGAAATTTAATATTAAGTAGTTATTAGTCGTTATATTGGACGTTTCTGTCCGGCGTCGCATGCACGTCGTTCAATCGTCTCAATGCTTACGACTTTCCCGTTCCGCTTCGTCGAACTATATGATGATATGTCTTTTGATATGCGTAGATCAATCGTGTGTAAACTTAACTGCCTCCTTTACTCTAATACCATGGTCGCATAGAAATTGTGAACTAATTATGTGCTTCGTTAGCATACGTGCAACACTGCAACCTGATTTCCTATGAAAGGAATGGTGAAATTATTTGCTTCATGTAAATAGCCGATGTAAAAGGCAATTATTAGTTGATATGGATTGGCTTACGTTGGCAGCATATTCAAGTTACGTAGTAGGTTAAATGAATACTGCAGTTAACTGGTGACTACTGAAGTTATCTACCTACTTACTAAAGTATGGTATAACATTAGCATCCCCGATTGGAATGCACTGTCGTGAAATATCTTGCGAGTTCAAACTGTAATACTATTTAAAGTTTTGGTCACTGAGTACGAATCGGAATTTGGGAGATGGGAGTTTGCAAAGTAATACCTACGGTTTATGTTTATTGTAAGTTCCCTGCAATAACATAAGATGGAGTCTTAATACAATGGGGTTAATAAAATTAGTGATCCATAAATACAATAGACATGGGGTTATTGCTTTTTTACCTTGAAAATTGAAAAATACTAAAAAGTCGGCAGTAGTGTTATAAATAATATCTTTTATTTCAGTAGCATAAGAAATTAATTTACAGCGTTCACGTCAGAAGGGGACTTAGGTATAAAGCATTGTATAAACGGGCAACACTTTCCTAGTTCTTGTTAGTACAACAAACTAAAGCTCTACATAGGTAATGTAGAGTTATTTAGTACTCTACACAAAGTGCATTTTGTAGTTTGTATTTATTACGATGTCCGTTGCAATTTCTCCGAACAGATCTGGTATTCAGACAACTCATACATACCTAGTTAGAACAATACATACTTACAAAACGTAGGTTCAGAAAACATTAAACCGTTTTACAAAACTTAATTAACATAAAAATGTGTATTAAAAAAATACATTTCAGACATTTTTTTCAGTAGCCACGTAATTATTTTAACTGTAGTGTTTTATATTTAAAACTACTAGGGTGTAGCGCATTATTGCATGAATTATTTTTAAACGAGGCTAGTAAATATTACCTAGGTGAGTTAAATACAAACAAAATATTTCAACAATTTTTTTAACAACTTTTAGCCATTTTAACAACAATTTTTCTGACAAATATTAGACAGAATTACTTTATTTTGGGAAGATATTGCTTTTAATTTTAGCTGTGAAGAATACCTTACCTACATCGGCAAGATAAAGTAAGGTTGCTCATATATGGACATCAGTACGGTACATAACACGACTACAAAAGCCAAAGAACAAACTTAATTTAATATTGCTTTATTCGATTCCATTTTACATTCCACTTGGTAAGCCCGAGTAATGCAAACTCGCTTCGACGGAATAAACGGCGTTATTTATTATATTTGAGACTTCAGTAAAGCCTCATTGTCATGGTCAATCGTGCAGATAAAAGTACAGCCAGTGCATTATCTAACTACCCATCAGCTTACAGATTTCGATCAACGATGATGACCTTAACAAAATTAGTATCTAACTCTAACGGCACTAAAATTCGTATCGAACAAAGCAGACTATTTGTCTATTGGAACAGTTATTTACATTACCTAGCTATGAAATGGTTACTTTATAATTATTTAAACATTTGTTTCTTTTATCAGCCTTTCTTTGCAAACGTATCCATGTCCAGTATAAAATATCAAGTCCTTCCACACTCGCACTGATGTGACAGTTTGTGCATAATTAAGTTATCGAAGAGTCGACCACTCGATTAACATTTCTATGTAAATTGACTGCAGTTTTCTAGATGTGACTACGTGTATATGAAGGCCATGTCTATATCATTATTCATACATGACTTTTATGAAACCATGGAAGATGCATGTGAAAATATTTTACTTCTTAGAATAGGAGAAATGCTAGAATACAATTTCTATAAACCTGTCAGACAAAGGCCAGGGCCGTCTTTAACCTATAGCCGAGTACGGAACTTCGTGTCTCATGCCCATACAGGCGCCCTCCGTGCATTCTGCTATATGATACTTACTTACTGTATAATATTTATCTAACAAAAGCTACACCTGAGGAAATGGAATCTAAAGTCCTCAACTATTTAGCATACGATAGTGAGACGGCCCTTCTACCCAAGCGAAATCCACCTGTTTATTTACAAGTATGACGGATGCAGTCAAGCCTTAAACTACTTAGGTACTCAAAAATTTTTACAGAGTTATTGCAATTTAACAACATCATCTTACTTAACACGATATTCACTATAAGTTTACAACATAGATACAGGCCGGACTCTTCAAAAAGCGACAATTCTTTCTGTCATTCAAAGTATAATGTCGATGCTTATAGGTAAATCAGGATATTCATTGTTAGCCTAAAGACCTTTAACAAGTGTTGGCTTTCCGTTTAGCTCTTATACATAAAAATATCAATCGTATTCCTTTCTTATACTACACAAAACAGACCCAGTCTTATCCGTAACCTTGTAACTTCCTATAAGGCTCTCTTCTCGTTTAAACCTGTACGTTCAGAGTATACCATTATATTTTGACGTGGTGCTGTGGGCGGTCGTCATCGTCACTATGTTCCTCTTGAAGCAGCAGACTGTCTGGCGGGCCGCGAGGTGGCGCTCGAGCACTGCCCGACCGCCGCGACCCGCCACGACTAAACATCTTCGAGAGCTGGGCGAACTTCTTGCGGGATGCTGTGAAGTTTTGTATAGTGACTTAGTGAGTATAGTTGTAGTGATTGAATACGGTAATTGGTATTAAACATATTGCGTTACACTTTCAACCCCCTTACTATATAGGTACACAATATTAATATTTAAAAACATATAACATTATTTTTGGCGCACAGGCGATTGTCTACTTGAGCCACTCGGCATGGCAATCATATTACCATAGCGTAGACCGTAGTGTGAGTAGGTAGATACTGACTGACCTAGATGACACAGGTTTGAGAATATCTGTAGGTAAGTACCACTTTATCAAGAGGCAGATTTTTTTTTAATATCCTGTAGGTATACAATTTTGTACTCACATTTGCCCATGTTCTTTAGCCTCTCTTTGAATGCGGCCTCATCGTCATGACACTTCGTTTTCTGTCCCTGCTCACTATCTAACGCAGCCATGAACTCCTGGTTCCATCGCAGTTCCGCCATGAACTCCTCATTCTGCAGGAAGGTGGCAATTTTGTCGTCATCCATCTCTAAACTCAGGTCTATTCTTGCGTCTGTACCGGGTGGTATTCGCAGAAACATGGGAGGTAGAGGGCCCAGCATTCTAGGCACCCATTTCCTTCTTACAGCTAAGGGAATTGAATCGTCATCAACGTCCCTGTAATTGAAAGCAATAAGTCACGTTGTTTTAAAATGAAAGTGTTGTATCTACGAACACATAGTTTCTAAATCTAGACCACAACGAGGCAACCGCTTGAATTTATGAAGCAAGGTTTAAAATACAAAATATATAATACTATTGAAAAACTAAAAAGAGATAAGAGTTACAGCGTCGTGCCCACAAACAACATGAGTTTGAGTTGTATATGTTATTGTGTTCTTTCCTTCTTTGTTCGTAATCGTTACAATTAAGACGTATAAGGGAAGAGACCATACAGCTTATTTTACACTAAAACTTGTTTACTATTTATCTAAGACTTCATGTGAATTTCTTGTCGCGGCTAGGTCCTTATTTTCAGTCATGAACTTTTAATGTGAGAGAAAATTTATCCATCTATTATACGTGAATAAACTCGATGCCCAGAATATTTACGCTAGTCATGCTAACCTGTTGCCTCAATTGTCAGTTGAACTACCAGTGTAGATGACAATATGACTACGAACGGAAGACGTAATCGTTTTGACCGACACACAATAACCTGAAGCCGTTGACGCGGTTTGTTTGTATCTCAGCCATTGCTAGAGCTATTGTTCGGGACATTGTTAGCTCATGTCTCAAAAATATTTAAGTTAACATTTAAACAAAGTAATAAGAGTTTATACTTACACGAGGGCTGTTGTATCGTTATCATCGCCATTGTCAGTAGCTCTGCAGCCCGAGCGACGGTCTTTGCGACGTGACGGCGTGCTGCTTTCCACCCGTTCCATTTCGAGCCGCAAACGTTCATTTTGGTTATCCGTACTCATAGCTAAGAGTTGGTCAATAGTCGCATCTACAGCGCCTTGGTTAGCGCGTAGTACGGCTTCAATAACATCGTCATCCATATCTGGGAACATCGTCTTGAAATCGGTCATCGCCTGCGTGAACTCTAGCTGCATGGTGGACGCCATCGTGCCGGCGGCCTGCGGCACGCGACACACCAGAAACGTCACAAGTGCGAGCCCCTCGCCGGCGAAACAGCTGATATGTGACGCAGAAGTGCCGCAGTGCTGATGAGGTCTGTGGCCGTGCGCCTCACGGCCATCCTCGTGGCGCACTGCACGCCGGCTCGCTCCGTGTCCTCAAATCGCTAATTAGCGGTGTATTTGCTGCAATGGTCCTGTATTAGCGGTGCGGTGCACCGATCATGATGTGCAATTTTCACTTTCGTCGTTTTTAGATGTTTTGCGCAGGCGCGAAGAGAGGCGGGGGACCGTCGATATAAATAGAGAATGCAGGCGGCGGCGCGCGTCCCGACGGCCGGCGTCGTCCGAGCGCGACCCTCTCTATCACTGAACCTGCCGCCGTATGGCGCGCCGTCGAGCTGCGCGCGCAGATGCAGCCCATTGTTTGTAAATCATGTTTGTCCCTAAACATGACCTTTAAAGCTGCCGAAGAAGTTTAAGGGATCTATGCCTTACGTAACTTAATTGTAAACATTAGACACACTTAGCTAGATATTGTAAAGGACATCAATAGGGAAGTAGATATTACTTAGTTCATTATGCAAAATAAATATTTTTGTAGCATTTCAATTTAGTTCATAATTTTCTGTTATAGAAGACACTGTGTTTGTCAATTTCTTGCGTGATCTTTGTACCTATGACTTGATATCGAGTAGGTAAGTAGTAAAAATCTGTGTGTCGAGGTTTTGATTGGCGGATGAATAAGTATCATTAATATGTTCTCGTCTTTCTTCTATTTCATTTAACATCTCTTTTATATTTTTATATCCAATCTTTAGATTTTCAGTAGGACCACTCGGTATAAGAACTATGTCATTTGTTTATTGCTTTATTTTAGTTTTGTTTTTACAGGATTCGATGTGGGTAGTTACTAGTTAGAATATTTAAAAATGATTATGATGAAAATGTGATTTGACTTCAAACGTTAATACAAGGGGATTGGAATTTTACTCGACATCTTTTCTATGTATTAGGGACAAACGACTTGCTTCATAGGAACATTCTGCCTACTTTTGCGTCAGGGAATAAAAGGCTGATGTTATGTCACTGACATCTAATTAAAGAATTAAAATTTCCTTTTTATTTATGATTTATTTCAAGAATATTTTACATTAAGTATAATTTAATAAGTAATTAGTTATACACGTCAATTTATCATTAGTGCATTTACAATGTAGGTACTAAAATAGACGAAACAACTAAGAATTTCATAAACAACATAAGATAGGGTTAGTTGTTAAAACTGAGCAATTAATTTCGATCAACGAGATAATCAAATGTCCGCCCAATTCCTACTAACCACTAATACACATGAAATTAGAAATGACACGAATCTGACAACTAACATTAACGAGATTTGGCTTTTTATGTTATTAGTAATTACTCTTATGATTGGGCGAGGCCTATCATTACAATTAGGTACATACATAGAAGCGTAGTAGAAGTGAACGCTGACGCATTTCCATATTTTAGGCCAATATGAAACTACTTACGGTGTCTTACCAAATTACCACGTAAAGCGTTGAGAACAGCAATGTCTACCTCACGCCCTATCTAAGTAGGTACTACAGTTACATATAATTACATAGTACGTACCTATATTTAGAATGATGTTTCACAAGATTAGGTACTACAAACAATCGTTAGCGATATGATAAGGCACCAATGAGTGGCATGCATCTCTGCCTAAGTTCCATGGCAGCACAAATAAATCCGCATCAGTGTCGGAGAAACAAACGTGAATAACTATTACATATGAATGTACTTCTGTATCATATTTATAAGATATATTATAGATCTCACGAGGAAGGCTACTGCAAGCTCAGATTACTATCAACCCTGAGTAGTCACACCATGTAATCAAATAATTCTCAAGTCACATTATACAGATTTAATCACATCATTATTTCAGAACAGCCCGTCTCATTTTAAGAGCCTGAACTCATAAGCTCTTCGAAATAATCAAGTCAATAAAACTGTATTATAATATCAGTGACAATGAGTTTATATGTATAGAGAACTGATTTTGATTTTATTTTTCTACCTATATAAATACAAATGACTTTAAAGTTTTGATATTATTGACTGTGACATTACATCAAGTGGTTAACTACAGTTCAATACATCAGCTAAACTGATGCACACTACTTCAACGTCAGGACTCGAGGCCACTACCAGTCAAATAATAAATGGACGGCGTAATCACAAATTGACGCCACACGAGAGTTTGACAATGCAAAATTCAGGAATGTATAAATGAATTTATATTTGTATACATTTCAAACAAAATACTGATGAAGACATTTTTTTTATAACCAAATTATCATAAAATATATCCAACATAGTAAATTAAACTAAGTACAGAAAATCTAACGCAAACGAGATACCTCGTCGGGTGCCTCCGGTGTACTTAACGGTGTATCCAATGATTCGGAAGGAATATAATCCTAATGATTTCATGAAGTACAAAAATAAAATTTATTACAATCAACGCAATGGCACAATTCTCCTGGTATGACAAAACAAGATATTTTACCTGTGGCCCTATCCCACAAAGTCAAGCACAAGAATTACAACAGTATTAATATTACAAAATAAAAATAAATAATACGAAAATGATCTCAGTGACTTCTCTAAAAATAAATATACAACTAGATGAAAGTGAAAGACAAAGATTTTAAAAAATAACTTCAGATATTAAGTTTTTTAATGAAAGCAACGAGGATTATAACCAAAATTTATTAATAATAACAATCATAAGGGCTGTACTTGTAAATATCAATAGCTCTTTAGATGATTCTACTTGCTGTGCAGTAATTTCAGTGCAAATCGTGCAGTTGCAAGATTTTGGAGCGCTACTGTAGAGCACCAAATAATTACTATGTTGTCAGACAGAAGTCTTTGTGGTACAATTGTTTTTCATGTACGTTGATATCGCTTCACAAAATAATTCCACACATCCAGCCTGTATTGGGAAAGATTTTACTAACATAGCATTTATATCAGTAGCGCTACGAAGAAGTTTATGACGTCATAAAGTAGCCCTTATGTGTGTGAATCCTCGGAGCTGTCAGATATAGAGGTGAGATTCAGACGCGCGCTTGCGTGCCGTTCTGTGGCAGTACCACCATGGTGTTAGTAGGCTGCGGCACGGGTTGCTCATTCTGTGCCCTCTCCTGCTGAGGAAAGTAAAGGAAATGTTACAAAAAGTTTTACCCTGTGTAAAAAGTTGTGCAACTTATATAAATTTTTGTTTTATATGGTTTACAGTGTAACTGTCGCGTTAATCGAGTAGTCACAACTGCGATGTCCAAGTAGTTTGGTTTTCTCTATCAGTTTCTTTCGAGTAAGAAGCCTTAGTACGAGTTTATTTTACGTTTAAAGTAATCGAAACGTGTTTGGCGCTCTGATTGGCCGGTTCATACTAAGGTCTCTGAAAAGATTTATTAGTTTTTTTATACCATAGGGCGGCAAACGAGCACACAGACCACCCGATGACAAGCAGTCCGCATAGTTTATAGGCTCCACGCCTATTATTGATTAGGCTTTTTGGTATTCCGGAACTTTGAGGCAGTAATAGCCTGGACAGTGCGGGACTATTTCTAATATAGGATAACACATAACTGATAATAATGAGCAATATATTTGCCATTTACTATCTTTAATTTTCTTCATATACTAATAAGTTACATACGTAAGTACATATGTTATTTAGCATTAATCAGTACTTACAACGGTTGTAAGCGAGGGATCAGCGGCGGCCATGAGCGTGGCGGCGCGGTATGAGGGCGGCGGAGTCTGTTTGACTGCCTCCTCGTAGTCCGGCAGCAGGCTGGAGTAGTCCGGCACGGGCGCCGCCGCGTACGGCGCCAACTGGCCTGTACTAACTACGTCATCGCTTGAGATCACGAACGGAGTTTGTAGTGCGTGCGCGCGCATCGTCAGGTACTTGTAGCAGCGCCATACTACGCTGATACAGTAGCCCTGTGAAACAGTTGAAGATAGATTAGTATTATTCGAAATTGAATTCTAAATACTAGGCAGTTACGTTGAAATTACACAATATAAAAATTGACACTCAAGTTTTAGAAATTACAGTTTCAACGAATGGGAAAATCGACAAAAAGTAAGGTACACATATTTATAGTCCTATGTTGTATCCATAGTAACCTATTTCTATTACATTTTTGATTTGATTTCAGGTAAGGGCAAGAGGTTACATCTGAGTCTTTCATTCAATACTCCTATATAATTAAATAGATGTAAAAAGGTAGGTTACCTTGAGCAGCACGGCAACTAGGAATGCAGAGAGTACGACGAGCGCGAGACAGGGCGCGGGCAGTTGCAGTAGCTGAGCACGCCACGGCACGCGTCGGGTCTCTGCCACCAGTCGGTGGATGGAGCGCAGGTAGCATAGGTAGCCCGTAGCAGTTAGGCTGCAGGACAAATAATAATAATCTTAATTACAGAAATATAAATGAGCATAAAATACAAAAATATATCCTCTAAGTAAACAGTACATTTCGTATAGTTCGGTGCCTGTACTAGGAAAATATTGTATCGTAGGCGAGGCGAGAATAATATGACACTATTGTATAATTCAGTGGTTCCCGATGTTGTGTTGGCTATGAACTATTTAAAAGAGTTAGGTATAAACTTGGAACCCACCTCAAGAAAATTCGAACGTAACCAATATAAAAAGGGCGTCGAACGACGCGTCGTTCTACTGATACTGGGCCTAGTTAAAAATTTTACCTAGGCCCAGTCGTATTATGAATATTATATATGTATATGAATTTTAAGTTAAAATTTATTCATAATACGACCCACCAGTGTATTGCGAACCATAGAAAACCTTGAATATAGATTGGGAAACCTAGGTATAACCAAATGGGGATGATTCTACAATACTATTGTAAAGCAGTTTATTTTTTCCACTAGCAGTATAGTATCAAGAACGCAAGGCTATTTTTAGAAATGTCTAATCTAAATTTATTCATTACTAGCTTCTGCCAGCGGCTTCGCCCGTGATCCTAGGGGGAAAATGCCAATGTATTACTTCACACCATATTCTACCTCTGTTCCGAATTTCATACCGGTCCCTTCAGTCGTTTTAATATGACTGAGTAACAAACATTAAACCTGCACACGCGACGAAAG